ACTACACTCGGAAATAATATTCTCGCATTCCCGGAAAGCATAATATTATGCCTTAACCCTATCCGTTCGCCATGTTTTATTATCGTATCCATACGACGTGGGAAACTGTGCCACCACTTAACCCTATATCCGTACGTCACGTTTTACTATCGTATCCATACGACGTGGGGAACTCTGTGCCACTACTTTCCAAACAAGAATACTCGTTAATCCGTTCCGTACGCTTTTTTATTTTAGTAGGGGTTTTACGGTGCTCGCAACTGTAAAAGGTCATATGAGCCTCAATCCGTACGCTTTGCATAGCAGTCTGTCAAAATGATTTTTTTAGAAATACTGAAAGTTTCAAAGATATCTTCGCACTAGAAGTATTCTAAAATGTGAAGAGTACAACCCCGAGGGTACAAAATGACCCCAGGGCGTACGGATAGGGTTAAGCGAGGTACTGATGAAAAACAGAAACACTAATACTTAATTTGACATGATCTAATCGCTGTCTACAGGCGGGTACTCATTCCCACCTAGCCGAAGTGAGGAAAAATTCGTGTAATTAAGTGCCTTTCCCAAGAACACAACGTCAGGTTTCGAACCCTCGACCTCATGGTTGCGAGTCCGAGAGCCTAACCACCAGGCCACCGTTGGTTCGGCGGTACGAAAATATTGTCCTCTCAAGGGTGGCGAAAGTGGACGCTGGTGATATAGTATGTGAGGCAGCGTGGTAGAATCAGGCTCTCGTCAATTTTTGGACGTATAGAGTTATAGGAATTATCTTAAAGCCTGTTCACTTGTCTTAATGTGGATGAAAAAAAATCCATTTATCTTGAATACAAGTCGAGATATTTTCGAAAGAAGGAGGTGGGGGTCACTTGTTTTCAGAGATCAAATTAGTGAGAAAATGGCCGCCAAAGATTAGTTATTTCCTTAGCTTAAGAGTCCGTTTATAACTAAAAATTTACATTTGTTATGCCTTTAATCAATGTTTTTCAGAAAAATCCACACAGAAATAAGTTCTTTAATGGGCATGAAAGGTGTGAGCCAAAAAATATTGTTATAAAGTTGACAAACACTGATCTAAATTGTGTCTATGGGGAGTTAAAAATATTGACAATCATACTGAGTATTTCGTTGTGTCACATTCTCTCAAGATATGCTATTTTTGTGTGTGACATAAGCGAGGCATCGTGGTGAAATCAGGCGCTTATTGTGAAAATAATGAAAATCAAAGAAATCGGCGTTTTTTGGCAGATGGGCAATTTCTGTCTAATTTTCTTTCTTTTTTTTATCAATACCTTTTATCTCCATTTAAAAACATATTTTTGTGTGGATGTTACAGGAAAGATATTGATTAAAGGCACAACAATGTAAATTTTCAGTTTCCAAGGACTTTCCGACTATGGAAGTTACCAAACGTTGGCGCCACGCACTGTCTCGTTAATTTTACCTCTGAAACCAGGCGACCCTGACCTCCTTCAATCGCAAATATTTCGTCTTCTATTCTGCATAGATGGATGGGGTTTTTTCACCAAGAGGAAGGCACATGAATAAGCTTTACAATGGTATCAATAACTCCTCGTGTCCAAAAATTGACGAGCGGCTGATTCCGCCACGTCGTGACATATATGATCTCCCTGTGTCAGGTTCTCCCAAGACGTGATATCTTTGTGTGGTGACACGTATTGTTTGCTTGTGTCAGGTTCTCCCAAGACTAGATATCTTTGTGTGGTGACACGTATTATTTCTCTGTGCCAGGTTCTCCCAAGACTAGATATCTTTGTGTGGTGACACGTATTATTTCTCTGTGCCAGGTTCTCCCAAGACTAGATATCTTTGTGTGGTGACACGTATTATT